CATTCTTCATTAAGTAATGAGTTATTTAGTTTCCAGCTGTTTGCATGTTTTTTGTCTTTACTTTTGTTGTTGAGTTCTACTTTTACTGCATTGTGATCAGATAGTATGCACGGTATAATTTCTATTTTCTTATATTTGCTGAGGCTTGCTTTGTGCCCTAGGATATGATCTATTTTGGAGAAGGTTCCATGGGCTGCTGAGAAGAATGTATATTGTGTAGAAGTTGGATGAAATGTTCTGTAGACATCAACTAGGTCCATTTGATCTATTGCATATTTTAGATATTGGATTTCTTTATTGATTTTTGTTTGGATGACCTATCTATTGATGATAATGGGGTGTTAAAGTCTCCCACAACCACTGTGTTGGGTTATATATGCTTTTAGGTCTTTCAGGGTATGTTTGATGAAATTGGGTGCATTGACATTGGGTGCATACAGGTTGATATTATTATTTCCTTTTGGTCTATTTCCCCTTTTATTAGTATGGAATGTCCTTCTTTATCTCGTTTGATCAATGTAGGTTTGAAGTCTACTTTGTCAGAGATAAGTATTGCTACTCCTGCCTGTTTTCGGGGCCATTGGCTTGGTAAATCTTCTTCCAGCCTTTCATCCTAAGCCTATGCTTATTTCTGTCAGTGAGATGGGTCTCCTGTAAGCAACAAATTGTTGGATCTTCCTTTTTAATCCATTTCGTCAAGCGGTGCCTTTTGATGGGTGAATTAAGTCCATTAACATTAAGTGTTAGTACTGATAGGTATGTGGTGATTCCTGTCATTTAGTTGTCTTAGTTGTTTGAAGGTTTGATTGTGTGTACCTAAGTTGAGGTTACTCTCTACTGTCTTGCTTTTTCTTTTCCTGTGGTTTGGTGCTGCCTGTCTTTTCATGGTTAAGTTGGGTTTCACTTTCTGTGTGCAGAATCCCTTGAAGAATCTTTTGTAGTGGTGGCTTTGTGGTCACATATTGTTTTAGTTTCTGCTTATCATGGAAGACTTTTATTGCTCCATCTATTTTGAATGATAGTTTTGCTGGGTAGAGTATCTTAGGGTTAAAGTTATTTTCATTCAGTGCCTGGAAGATCTCACCCCAGCTCTTCTTGCTTTTAATGTTTCTGTTGAGAAGTCTGCTGTGATTTTGATGGGTTTACCTTTGTATGTTACTTGTTTTTTCTCTCTTACAGCCTTCAATATTCTTTCCTAGTTTCTGAACTTGTTGTTTTAATGATGATATGTGTGGGTAGTTCTATTTTGATCTGGTCTGTTTGGTGTCCTGGAGGCCTCTTGCATCTGTATGGGAATATCTTTCTCTAGATTTGGGAAATTTTCTGTAATTATTTTATTGAATATATTACACATTCCCTTCGCTTGCACCTCTTCTTCCTTCTTCGATGCCCATGATTCTCAAGTTTGGTCTTTTGATGGAGTCAGTGAGTTCTTGCATTTTCTTTTCACAGGTCTTGAGTTGTTTAATTAATAGTTCTTCGTTTTTCCTTTAATTACCATTTCATCTTCAAGTTCTGAGATTCTGTCTTCTGTTTGTTCTATTCTGCTGGATTGGCCTTCCGTTTTGTTTTGCAGTTCTGTTTCATTCTTTTTTCTGAGGTTTTCCATATCCTGGCAGTTTTCCTCTTTAATGTTGTCTATTTTTGTCCTGAGTTCATTTATCTTTATTCATTGTGTTCTCTTTCACTTTGGTGTTTATACAGTGCTTCTATGGTTTCCTTTTATTTCTTCTTTTGCTTTTTCAAATTTCTATTTTTTGTCTTGGAATTTCTTGAGTGTCTCCTGTACATTTTGGTTGACCCTATCCAGTATCATCTCTATAAAATTCTCATTGAGTACCTGTAGTATGTCTTCTTTTAAATTATTCTTGTGGGCTTCATTGGGTCCTTTGGCATAGTTTATCTTCATTTTGTTGGAGTCTGGATCTGAGTTCTGTTTCTTCATTCCCTCTGGTTCCTGTACTAATTTTTTGCTGTGGGGAAACTGGTTTCCCTGTTTTTTCTGTCTTCCCGTCATTGTCTTGGTGTTGTTACTGTCCTGTACTGTGTGCAATTAAGTATTTTCTAGCTTGTAATAATAACAATGGTAATATTTAGAATGGAAGGGTGAGCTGAGATGGAAAGCAAGAAGTTAAAGAAAAGGGAAAAACAAATACACAGAAAGAGAAAACAGAACAAATCAACAAGAAAGTTTCAAAGGTATAAACAGGGAGCATTAGTGTACTAATCACAGTAAGCTGAACAGACATTAGAGAGACAGAGAGAGGATTGAAAATCAAAAATAAAAAAATAAAAGAATAAAAATAAAATAAGTAATGAAAGAAATATCTAATATAAAAATGAATTAAAATAAATGAAAATAGAAAATTAAAAAAAAAAAAACCAAAAAAACTCCAAGTTCAAATGCAATGAAGTTTCAGTCTTAATAATTTGGGTGTCCTCTCAGTCTCCAATCCTGGAGATGGTGCCTCAGATGTTGTTCTGTAGTTGTCTCATCAAAGGGGATGCATAAAGTAGAACAAAAACTACACACACACACACAACACAAACAAAAAAACCCCACCTAGTGTCCCCAGTTCAAATGCAATACAGTTTCAGTAAGTTTTTCAGCATGCAGGTGTAATTCGGTTTTCTCTCATCAAAGGTAGGGAGAAAAAGAAAAAAAAGAGTCTGGAGACAGTTCTGAGAATGGTATCTGCGGCTGTGGCTTGTCTGCCCACTGCAGTCAGCCTGCTGTTGCTGGAGGCGTTGTTTATGCAGATCTCTGGGGTGAGCTTAGCACTCATCTGGTCCCACAGGTTTGTTTGCTCAGAGTTCTCCTGTGCGGGAGCCTCCGCTACAGGTTTTCCCCTTTCCAAGCACTGGGAAAGGTGACACTGCCCCGCGTTGTCAGGCCTGCATGTTTTATTTACAGTTCATGTGGGAGGTGGGTCTTCCCCTCTCCTCTGAAGTTTTCCTCCCACTGCCACTTTCACAAGCTTTCCTGCTCCTGCTTACTGGGCGGTGCTGCTGCTCCTGCCGGCCGCCATGTTTGTTTACAGTTCACGTGGGAAGTTGGTCTTCCCTCCTCTTCTGTGGAGTTTTCCTCCCTCCTCCACTCTCACAAGCTTCCCAGCTCCTGGTTGCTGGGTGCCCCACCCCTGCTCCTGCCAGAGCCTCTCTGGCCGCCCGGCTTGTTTATTTACAGTTCCAGGAAGGATTCCCTTCCACCACTCTTCAGCGCTCAGTGTGCCCCACCCTCTTTCCTGTGTGTCTTTATTGTTCTTATTGCTTATTAGTCAGTTTCTCTTTTTTCCCGGGTGGGGCTCAGTCTGTCCAGGGGGCTATGCTGCTCTGGCCCAGGCTTGTCTGTGGGGGAACCGCAGTACCGCAAAGCTCACCTGGTCCGCGTCTTCCCAAGCCGTATGGGCGCCGGCTACTGGCGGCCCCAGGGGCCCTCCTTGTTTCTCAGTTTAACGTGAAGTGGAGATTCTCTGCGCCGGCTGGAGGTGTGGAGGGGTCAAAGTTATGCCTTTTCTCGTGATTATGCCTGCAAAGTGTGTCTCCAGCGTCTCTCCAAGATTTCACTATAGGAGGCTTGCTTTCTGCTTCCTCCCTCTAGCCGCCATCCTGAAATCTCCCATTAAGCTATTAAGGATGACTTTCTCTTAATTCAAAGGATACTTTTGTTTGTTTTTTTGATTACACTTCTAAGTCACAGTGGGTTGAAGTATCTGTTAAACTCCTTTTTTTTTTCCTTAAAAAAAAAAAGTACTAGTGTGAACCCAGGGCCTCATGCTTGGCAAGTACTTTATCACTAAGCTACATCCCTAGGCATCTATCAAACTCCTTGAGGGCAGAGATTTGTATTTTCTGTGTTTACTGAGGACTTTCCCAAGGGTAAAGCCATGCCTGGCTTTACATTTATTACTGGATATATGATATTGAATAAGTATTTATGGAGTGTTGGGAGAGCTGCTCTTATAAAATGACCTTTTATTGATCTGAGATATCTTTCTTTAAGAATATATAATAATTCAGAATGTTTTAAATGCATGCATTAGAATTCAGTACTTTGATTTTAATGTAGCTTGATCTTAGGAAAGCTACTGGAAACAGAAAATCCCTCATTTTTAATTGTTTCATATAGAAAACAGGAAAGTAAAGAAAGTAAGACAATTTAAGCTAATATCAGTACAAAGATCTGATATTTCACTTTAAAAACCCCTCTCTCTTAGGAAGGATAGCTAGAAATTTTACAACAATATTTGAAAGTACAGTTTCTACTTTAAATATTTCTGCCAGTAGTAGAAGGCTTTAATTAGTGTTTTTAATTAAGAGAGATCAAGTGGACATTTGAACTAGTGGTTTAATGTGAGTAGGAAGATAAGGGAAAACATATCCGCAAATGTGTGGCTTAATGACTTTTTTAATGACTTTTTTGGGGAACAGCTTTATAGAAATATCGTTCATATAAAGTACAATTTACCCATTTAAAGTGTATGATTCATTGGTTCTTAGAATATTCACAGAATTACACAACCATTTCTAAATTAATTTTAGTTAGAATTTTGTCATCTTGAAAAAGACCGTGTACCCCTGAACTATCACTCCAAAATGTGGGTCCAACTTTCAAGGAATTCATAGTCTAGTAAAGACTAACCCATAAAAGTTATTGAAAACTCGTGACAATTGTTGGTGTAAAGAAATATTTTATAATGCTCACATATTTGGGTTTGGAGTCTTATAACTCCAAATCCAAATTGGATAAACTGTAACGCTCTAAAGTAGATAGCAAACTCTTTAATGTCAGAAGTCTTGTTTCTACGTGGTGGAGCGACATGTATAGTTACAGGAAGTGGGTGGAGCCCTTAATCCTTCAATTAAGATTACTTAATTTAGTAATCTTTAATTACTAAAGATCATTTATAACATGACACCCCTAATGAGTACTGTTTAATTCTGAGAGTTGTTTGTACCCTATCCACAAGTCCTTTGCTCTGCTTACAATTCTTGCACAGGATGGAGTCTTCAAGATGAGCCTTTCTCCAGATGGGAGCCTCCTTGCAACCATTCACTTCTCAGGGAAGCTGAGCATCTGGGCGGTTCCATCTCTCAAGCAGCAAGGAAGCTGGGACCAAAATGAGCAGGTGCGTCTCTTAGGTATCATTACTCTCTCAAGTGTAAGTAGCTGCAGTACTCACTTCATTTGTTGATGTTTCTCTGTAGAACACAATTGTTATTTTTTCTCATAATTCCCAAACCATTCTGTTATATCAGTTGATTTCAGTACAGTAGGACAAATTAAGAATAGACTAAGTCTATGCATAGATTTTAGTTAGTGCTGTAAACTGTTTGTACCAAGTATAATCAGTGTGTTGAACTCTTCCTTTGTTTTTCTCTTTGATATTCAAGAAATACAGAATGGACACATTACAATTTCAGCAGAAGTTAATATGATCAAGTATTTGGAAGGTCATATCCGAATTGGGTTACAGATCTTCCCCAAATCTTTACAGCACTAGTATTATATTTACTTAAGACTTGAAGGGTATCTCATCTCTCACCTTCTCTTCACTAAAAGATGAGTAGAAAAAGATATAGAAAAAGATGGAACACTTTCAATTTTTAGTGTCTTGAAAGGACAGTTTTTAAGAATTAGATGATTATATGATTTTTTAGTTTTTGCTTTTTTGTAGTACAAGGCATACAAGCTAGGGACTTGCTCATGCTAGGCAAGCGCTACATTGTCAGTCCTTGACTTTTTGAGACAGTCTCACTGTATAGCTCAGGCTGGCCTTGAAGTCACTGTGCATTTCAGATTGTCCTCAAACTCTCAATCTTCCTGCTCTTTCTCCAGAGTACTGGGATTATAGGCTTGTACCTCCATGCCCTACTGAATTAGAAGATTTTATTCTTTAGTAACAAGTAGTGTTAGTGCCTTTTATAATTTAAATTCATTAGGGGAACATACAGTCTGCTCATTTAAAGCCATGTCTTGTTTTGAGTGAAAATTTAGAGAAAAGTCTTTCTTGAACTAAGTGCAGCTTGTTATCTAAATTTTTTACTCTCTGATGATTAGTTAGCATTTCAGCCCTACCCTATTTTCCTATAGGTATATCAAGCCTTGGTGGATAGTTCTGTGATTCTAAGATTGAGTTGAAGTCACAATTAAGAAAGAGAATTGTTGATATGTGGCTTTACATCATAGACTTAACATGTCTCTGACTCATTTATTGGGTCTGGATTTGTTCTACATGAAGAGGTGTTCCTCAGCCAAAGGTGTGGGTGGCCAAGTACAGGGTTCCTCTGCTCAGAAGTTAGAGCTCAGTTGACTTACCTCTTCTCTCTAGAAGTGGAGTGATCATCTCTCACAACTGCTGAGGGTCTTTAGCTGAGTGTGTCAGACCATAGAACTGATGAAGAATTGATTAGGAATGGGAGGATAGTTTGATTTTGAGGATATATATCATATTATTTGTGTTTCCAAGGGCACGATACATAAAGTCTATGTTTTGCATTTATATTAAAAAAGGACATTATTCACATAGTTGATAAAAAATACTGTGTATTTTTCCTGGGTATCAATCAGCTCCTTTCATTGGGAGGATTCTGATGCTCTTTATATTTGGGACAGTTTACATTTGGGCAACAATTTTTAAATGATGAAAACTGAATAACAAAGGCATTTCCCCTCAACTTTTTGTTTCCTTAAATTATTTTCATTCACCTAATAGAAATATTGATCAGCTTCTGAATGTCATCCTACAGTGTCATACATACAATGTGAGAACTATTACTGACAAAATTGATTAGTGTGCTCTTGGTTTACTGAGGCATTTTTACTGATAGAGATAAATTGTTTTGTTTGGGCCTTTTTGGCATGTCATCAACTTTTAAAAAATTTTTATTTATTTATTTATTTATTTATTTATTTATTTATTATTCATACGTGCATACAATGTTTGGGTCATTTCTCCCCCCTGCCCCCACCCCCTCCCTTACCCCATCCCTCCCACCCCCACCCTCTCTCCCCCACCCCCTCGCTACCAGGCAGAAACTATTTTACCCTTATCTCTAATTTTGTTGAAGAGAGAGTATAAGCAATAATAGGGAGGAACAAGGGTTTTTGCTAGTTGAGACAAGGACAGCTATACAGGGAGTTGACTCATATTAATTTCCTATGCACGTGTGTTACCTTCTAGGTTAATTCCTTTTTATCTAACCTTTTCTCTAGTTCCTGGTCCCCTTCTCCTATTGGCCTCAGTTACTTTTAAGGTATCTGCTTTAGTTTCTGCATTAAGGGCAACAAATGCTAGCTAATTTTTTAGGTGTCTTACCTATCCTCACCCCTCCTTGTGTGCTCTCGCTTTTATCATGTGCTCAAAGTCCAATCCCCTTGTTGTGTTTGCCCTTGATCTAATGTCCACATATGAGGGAGAACATACGATTTTTGGTCTTTTGGGCCAGGCTAACCTCACTCATAATGATGTTCTCTAATTCCATCCATTTACCAGCGAATGATAACATTTCATTCTTCTTCATGGCTGCATAAAATTCCATTGTGTATAGATACCACATTTTCTTGATCCATTCCTCAGTGGTGGGGCATCTTGGCTGTTTCCATAACTTGGCTATTGTGAATAGTGCCGCAATAAACATGGGTGTGCAGGTGCCTCTGGAGTAACCTGTGTCCCAGTCTTTTGGGTATATTTCCAAGAGTGGTATTGCTGGATCATATGGTAGATCAATGTTTAGCTTTTTAAGTAGCCTCCAAATTTTTTTCCAGAGTGATTGTACTAGTTTACATTCCCACCAAAAGTGTAATAGGGTTCCTTTTTCCCGCATCCCTCACCAACACCTGTTGTTGGTGGTGTTTTTGATGATGGCTATTCTAACAGGGGTGAGGTGGAATCTTAGTGTGGTTTTAATTTGCATTTCTTTATTGCTAGACATGGTGAGCAGTTTTCCTTGTGTTTTTTGGCCATTTGGATTTCTTCTTTTGAGAAAGTTCTGTTTAGTTCACTTGCCCATTTCTTTATTGGTTCACTAATTTTGGGAGAATTTAGTTTTTTAAGTTCCCTATATATTCTGGTTATCAGTCCTCCGTAGCTGCCTCTCTTTTATCCATACCTGCATTCTCGTCTCACCTGGCACCCTCCATGCCTTCCTGAACCCTCTCACCTGTGAATTCTCAGGCAGAGCAGAGCTTACCAACAGGCCTAGCTTGTTAGCCTCCTGGGCATGCCCCCTTAGTGTTGGGCAAATTGATGCTTTCAGATCTAACAAGAGGGCCTGGCCAATTCCTCTAAAATCAGGAACTAGATAAGGATGCCCTCTATCTCCACTCCTATTCAACATAGTACTGGAATTCCTAGCCAGAGCAATTAGGCAGGAAGAAGGAATAAAAGGAATACAAATAGGTAAAGAAACTGTCAAAAATCCCTATTTGCAGATGACATGATCCTATACCTTAAAGACCCAAAAAACTCTACTCAAAAGCTCCTAGACACCATCAATAGCTATAGCAAGGTAGCAGGATATAAAATAAACATAGAAAAATCATCAGCATTTTTATACACTAACAATGAGCAAACTGAAAAAGAATATATGAAAACAATTACATTTACAATAGCCTCAAAAAAATCAAATACCTAGTTATAAACTTAACAAAGGATGTGAATGACCTCTACAAGGAAAACTATAAACTTCTGAAGAAAGAGATTGAGGAAGACTATAGAAAGTGGAGAGATCTCCCATGCTCATGGATTGGCAAAATCAACATAGTAAAAATGTCTATACTCCCAAAAGTAATCTACATGTTTAATGCAATTCCCATCAAAATTCTAGTGACATTCATTAAAGAGATTGAAAAATCTACCATGAAATTTATATGGAAACACAGAGGCCACAAATAGCCAAGGCAATACTCAGTCAAAAGAACAGTGCAGGAGGTATCACAATACCTGACTTCAAACTATATTACAAAGCAGTAACGATAAAAACAACATGGTACTGGCACTAAAACAAACATGAAGACCAGTGGAACAGAATAGAGGACCCAGATATGAAGCCACACAACTATAACCAACTTGTCTTTGACAAAGGAGCTAAAAATATATGATGGAGAAATAGCAGTCTCTTTATCAAAAACTGCTGGACAACTGGGTAAGAGTCTGCAAAAAACTGCAACGGATCCATGTATATCACCCCATACCATATTAACTCAAAATGGATCAAAGATCTTATATCAGACCCCAAACTCTAAAGCTGATACGGGAAAGAAGTAGGAAATACTTCTGAATTAGTAGGTATAGGTAAGAAACTTTCTCAACGAAACCCCAGCAGCACGCAGCTAAGAGATAGCATAGATAAATGGGACCTCATAAAACTAAAAGCTTTGCGCACAAAAGAAATGGTCTCTAAACTGAAGAGAACACCCACAGAGTTGGAGAAAGTATTTGCCAGCTACCACATCAGACAGAGGACTACCAGAATATATTAGGGAACTTAAAAAACTAAATTCTCCCAAAACTAATGAACCAATAAAGAAATGGGCAAGTGAACTAAACAGAACTTTCTCGAAAGAAGAAATTCAAATGGCCAAAAAACACCTGAAAAAATGCTCATCATCTCTGGCCATAAACGAAATGCAAAACAAAACCACACTAAGATTCCACTTCACCCCTGTTAGAACAGCCATCATTAGCAACAGCACCAACAACAGGTGTTGGTGAGGATGTGGGGAAAAAGGAACCCTAATCCACTGCTGGTGGGAATGCAAGCTAGTGTAATCACTCTGGAAAAAATTTGGAGACTTCTTAAAAATCTAAACGTAGACCTGCCATATGATCCAGCAGTCCCACTCCTCGGGATATACCTAAAGGAATTCAACACAGGTTACTCCAGAGGCACCTGTATACCCGTGTTTATTGCAGCGCTATTCACAATAGCCAAGTTATGGAAACAACCAAGATGCCCCACTACTGACGAATGGATCAAGAAAATGTGGTACTTGTACATAATGGGAATTTTACTCAGCCATGAAGAAGAATGAAATCTTATCATTTGCAGGTAATGGATGGAAACTGGATAAACATTATTCTGAGCGAGGTTAGGCATGCTCAGAAGACCAAAAATCATATGTTCTCCCTTATATGCGGACTTTAGATCTAAGGCAAATGCAGCAATGTGGTTGGACTTGGATCACATGATA